AATGCATCGCGTCGTTTCGTATATCCAAATGGATTGAAAGATATTGTTTTGAAATATTTTTTTTTCCTTTATAAAGTTGAATATCGAAATGTGAATATTGTAGAAGGTAATTATCACCAATATAAGATAATCAATTATATATAAGTAAAAATCAGAGGAACAATGTGCAAAAACAGTTGAATTTTAAACATGAAAGTCAATTTTCTTTGTTTTTTCACTAAGATGTTCGAAAAGTATGATATTACCCTCAATTCCAGAATCGCAATGATTTAATAACGTTCGAAGACATAAGCAGAATCCCATTACACGAAAAGTCCGCCGGTACATGAAGAATATCTCGGCAATGCGTACATTTCCCTGGAAATATTTTCTTTTCATTCATTTCATAGCATCAATGGCAAAGTAAAGAAGATAGAAGAGAAGTAGCACGGGAACAGATGGTATGATATGTTTTATTTATTTCAAAAAGGAGGTAACACTCGTTAAACGTTATTATCACGTTGGGATGAAAGATTGAAAACGGGAGAGGAGAAGGACGAAGATAGAATGAAGTTCACTCTGACAACTTGCTTCAAGCGTTTCTCAGGCTAAATCCACGCCACGAGGAAGCAAGAGTTTCATCTGAACGCGTCCTACCGCGACATCAAAGATGGCGTGCGGAGTACACATTCTGTAATGAGTTGAATATCGCGGGTAGAGAGAGGCATTCTATCCATCCTTTGCTTTCTAATAGATTTAAACGTACTCTATCTCGGTCTAACCTTCCTTCTCAGGTGAATTCATTACAGGCAGTGTTAAGAAGCAGTTGAATTAGCGAAAGCAACGCCATCCTAACAGTGTATACTCGTTACCACGCCTCTTATTAAAGCCGCGAGGCATCGGATCTTCGTCGCTTTTCACCATGAAGAGAAACCACGAAACATCACGATAGCATCGAAGTTAGTAGTCGGGTGATTACACTTGTGCGTTCCTTAATTATAATTGAGAAGTCGATGGTAATGTAATTGGTATTTAAATGCACGCTAAAATAATTAAGTCATTGACAAACTTCTTCTATTTTCTTTAAATGTTTTTTTTTCGTTTTATTATTATTATTATTTTGTTTTTTTTTAGAAGGATCGTCAAGATTTTCAACTTCTTGATAATTTTTAAGGATCTATNAATGCACGCTAAAATAATTAAGTCATTGATAAACTTCTTCTATTTTCTTTAAATGTTTTTTTTTTCGTTTTATTATTATTATTATTTTGTTTTTTTTTTAGAAGGATCGTCAAGATTTTCAACTTCTTGATAATTTTTAAGGATCTATTATATTAATGGATTTTTTTTGAAGAAATGGTAAGCTAATTTGAAATTTTGTTAATGAATTCTAAAGAAAACTTCGTCAAGAAAAAAATTGAATAATTATTCCAATATAAATTAAAAATAAATTAAAGAAGTAATATAAATATAATATATTTATTAGAGTTTCAAATATCTAATTTGCATAATATTAGATAGATATGTTGATTTAATTATTGATTTCTTATTTAAAAACCAAAATAATTATGTTTTTTTTTTTTCATTTTTAACATTTTTTATCAGCTGGATATAATAATAGGAACGAGAAAAAATTCGAAAGCAAAAACAGTTCCATCCATAAGCGATAGAATAAATTATGAAACAGGAAATCTCGAGATGCATTACGAGCGATATCCTATTGCCTCGCCATGGATAATCCCGCACCCTCGACATTTATTGCCCCTCGAAAAGCCAGCGCAGGTAATCTCCGCAGCTTCGGCTGGCACGCGAACCGACCGGCACACGAGCGCCCATAACCATTAACAAATCTTGTAACCTAGCACGAAATAAAGTGCTCTCGTGAATCGACCGTTTGATTCCAATAGCTACGGGGGCTGCTTTTATGGGAGCAAGACGAGAGACATGAAGGGGAACCAGAAGCTGAAGAACGAAGAGAAAGCGATAGAGAATCATGGAAGAAAGAAGAGTGTCCCTATATATGTGCGCGCGCGCGCATACATCGTTCCACAAGGGTATTGTCGATCTCCTCTCGCAATTCTCCGCGATGCTCGAACGGTGCACACAACATCACGAAGAAAAGAGGGAGGACGACTCTTCTATGCCCGAAACTCGGGTATTATGATCATCGAACGTAATACGATATGGCCAAACTTAGGATAAACATACACGCCCCTAGCACACTGCTGGGCTGACCTGAACCTAAGACCTGCCGGTGAAATCAATTTTAACGGACTGAAACTGAAGGGAATTATCAGATTGATGCGCAGACTTGGGTTTTAGTTCGGTGAAGATAGTAACTTTTGGTTATGAGAGATTATATAGAGGGATGAAGATTATGATTGTTGAGAATGAGAACCGAATGATTTTTCAGTTTCACTGTAAAAAATGTTTCTTGTATTTCTTTATAAAATAAGTTTTCTAGCAAAATTTACAAAATTTTCTTATAAAAATTGAAGAAAAGGATATGAAAATAAATAAAAAAAAATAAACAAAGTATAAAAGTAAAACGAATAAATTGCATAGTAATAATCATCATTTGCAAAGAAAATGTACTTTCATACGATTTTAAAAATTTCACAAATAATGAAATATACGAACAAAGATAAAAATCTAAAAAAAAAAAGATAAGTGATTATTTAAAAGATAAAAAAAAGAAAATGATTTATATTATGCATCATCAAGAATTCAAGAAGCAAAGTTTAAAGATTTTAAGCAATCTAAAGAACAATATTTCTTATAACATTAAAAAAATCAGTGAAATTGCGTAAATTGTGTAAAAAATTGTGTAAAAAAAATTCTCGCAACCAAAACGATTTATACCATCCATTCTAACTAATCTTACTGTTTCCAGTGCGCCGATTTATATTAAACAGAGGAGAAAGGGGCACGCACACGATTCAACATGAAACGAAAGCGAACAAAGAAGAGACAAATTGGCGGTGTAGGCGCTCCGCTTATTAAAGCCAACGCCTGACCCAACCTGACCCGAAGCAATACACCCCGATTGTGCCGAGTGTTGTAGTCGGATAGGAGGGGAAAGTCGGTGGTATCGAATCGGTAGAAGCTTTTTGGGTAAAAGGCGCCACCCTTCGGCGTTGAGTCTCCGTTGAAGGGGCTGTTGGCCCGACAGAAGCCAAGGAAAGGCGTGTCGGGTTACCGGCTAACCCCGGGGGTAACCGCGAACCCCACCTAAGCCCATAAGCGTACACGTATTTGCGCACCCCTTCGTATAACTCATTGGGAAGGTCACAAATTTCGCTCGAAGGTTGCGGTGCGATCCGAACCACCTATGATCCTATGGGGCACCATCAGGCCACCGTTAGCAAAAAGGTAACAAGATGTAAATTGAGACGCGTTTAGAAAGGATATACTGCTAATTAACGTAGTAAATGTTACATGAACTTGTATATATAGTGAACTTATAGAGACGATTAATGATCAATTTTGGCTATCATTAAATTAATGATAGTATTTTAAAAGGATTTATTAAGATATTTATGTAACTCTTAAGACTTATTCTGTAAATATAATAAATTAAAATAACTTGTAATTTATAACAGAATTTATTAATATTGATTATTTATAATTTATAATTTGTAAAATATATATATCATTTTTAGTAAAAACTTGTCAATTTGGGATAAAATAGAATCATCTTTTTAGGTGGTCAAGAAAATTCAAAAATTAAGAGGAACTTGTGTTCGTCGGCATTTTGTACTTTTGAACAAGCTACGGAGCTGATTCATGGAACTATACTCTTCCGTCCCGATTGGAGACAACTCGAAATCCATCCGAAGGTACGATCCATCGGTCCAACCCGATTGTATATCGATTAAAAAATCCTCGTGTCGGGTTTCACGGTACATGGTACAAAGTTGACATTAACGATTGCTGACAATACGAAAGGCGACCGACGCTCGACCGCATTGTAACGGCCTTCTATTAGCACAGTCGACGAGATACAAAAGCCGGATCTTCCAGATACCCATACCTATCTGAATGACAGATAATCGGCCACCTTTCAGTTTTTTGAGGCTCGCGATTAAATATTCCACTTTTTTTTCTTACTTTCTAGAAAATGATCTTGTCTTCTTAACAAGTTTCAAAGATGTATTTATTTTTTTTTCTTTTAAATTTTTATTTTTATAATATAACAACGAATATGAATTTTTCTTTTTATTATATATCATTAACTCATATTAAATAATTTCTATTTCAGAAAATGGCTTATGTATAATTCGCACTTGCAATTGATAGAATATGAATATTTATATCAATAAAAGAAAATTATAACGTGATACAAATACGTGATACTGCTTTCTGTGATACAATCGTTTTTTCCAATTCTTTTGAATCATGTGAAAAAGCTCGGATAATACCGCTTGTCAGCGAAACCAAAGTAAAGAGAAGAAAAAACTATATAAAACCTTCATGTCGCAGTTCATCGATGCTCGGATTACAATCAAACACTTTGCTGCCGGTATATTTTGCAACAGTAATTCCACCAATCTGTGATAAATGAGTTTTGCGATACAGATAGATTAAGCGATGATACAGTTATAATAGCTTTTATATCAACGTGGTGTATAAAATGATTTTCAAAAAATCTAGAATAATATCTTTGAAATATTGCAATACAAAAAACATAAATCAATGCAAAAAAATTATTGTTATCGACATTTATATATATCTTATATTATTATATTGATTCACAATATCAATAATATTCACAATATCAATAATATCAACTATATTAATTAAATTCTAATTTTTTTATTTTTTCTTATAAAACTAATAATCGTATAACCATACAAATTACATCAGTATAAAATATTTTTAATATTTTCAATATTTTTTATATTATTTTAATCCATAGAACAAAGTTGACATAAATGATATGTAAAAACTCGAAAAATATCTATTAGTTTTCAATTATGTAATTAATCTATTATTGATTAAGTTAAACAAATTAGACTAACCTTTATGTGGCATCTTCCAGAAGGGCGGTTCGGGGGTGGGCGAGCAAGGGTTAGCCACCCCCGCGCCCAACAGGGTTCTTGCCGCGTGCAGCGCCGCCGCCGCCGCTTCCCTGCTCCTCGCTGCCGTAGCACTTGGCGGGTAATCCGAAGCGCTGTCACTTTCGGCGATGCCGCCACCGCCACCGCCGCCTCCACAAGGACGAAGGTGCAGGTTCAGTCGACCGCCGCCGACCGTGCCACCACCTCCACCGCCTCCTCCGCCGCCGCCTCCGCCACCGCCGCCACCTCCGGCCACGCTAACACAATGCTAGAAAAAACAAACGAACAATCATTAACTATTAATTTAATCGCTCAAAGCTGAGAATCGTAGAATGCAAATAAGTTTGACAGTAAAATAATTAAATTCTTTTGAAACTTGTTTCTTGAAAGTAATTTTCACAACTACAATTGAGAGACTATAAGAGAATAATATTAATTTCTCAACATAGAAAAATTATATTCGAAAATTTTATTCTTAAATATATCGGAAAGAAATATTGAATATGATTGATTATAACTTTTGTATGATTTATAGAATGATTCAAAGTTTATACTTTGATCGCTAAATGCTTCTAGCAAGAGTTTGTTTTTTCTGTATTTTTATTAAAATTTGAAATATATTATTATAGATAGAAAATAATTTGTGAAATACGTATGCGAAAATGATATTAAGTGAAGAATATTTTTAGAGAGATATTTTTTTTTTTACATTTATTTTATATGAAATTTAGTCATATATAAATATGCAAGATATAATGAGCAAGAAATTGTGTCTATAATGAGATGCATATCCATTCATAAACTAAAAAAATTAATCGATTATGTGTTACTGTAAAGCCAAACATTATAAACATTCTTAAAAATTCAATATCTTTTATGTAAATTTGACGATTTATTCATCAAAATCTTAGAAAAAGTGACATTTTATACATAAATCACTGAAAATAGCACAAGTAAAATAGTAATTAAAAAATATCGCATCAGAATCTTATATAACATTGACAACAGGACACAGAAAGCTAATGCATGAGATTTACAAGCAAAAGCTTGTTGGTCTTTTACAGAAATAGCTAGTGTTTATTCATACCAAACGAAGTACATGCTTCCATCTTCTGTTCTAACATTTTGCATTTCACATAGATATTTTTTATTTTGTTCTAGGTAAAGCAAATTAGTTTCATTATATGTATAATATTTTTTTTTGAAAATCATACACCACATTCAAAATTTTGAAAAATTGACTGCTTTTTATGCATCTTATTATTATATATACATATGCATGTACGTATTTACAACAATTTCTTTCTAAATTCTAATATATTTTTTAAATTCCAACAAGAAAATAACATGCATGTTCCTATGAAATTAACTCGATGTTTTTTTTTTCAAATCTTGTTTCGAAATAATAGTCCGCCTTGTGATTTTTTTCTGTATTTTTAAACAAAGAAAAAGAAAATGCTGAATCGTGTTTTGTTTAAATTTCGCTTCCATATCTCATATATCGCGGTATGGTAGCACGATGCAATATCTTACGTTTCCCACTGATTTTTGTTAAAACTTAATTTCGAAGCTTACAGAATTAGGCAGAGCATTGGAAACACAAGAAATACGTGTCAAGTGAAATTCGTACATGTCATGAATACGTGTCATGAAATTCTGATGGATTAAACACGAATGGAAAAACATTAACATTTCAGCAATTTTTTTTTTTTACTGGTGGTTGAAATGTGATTTCAAACTCGAGCATTTGCAATTTACCGGCAGCAAATGGAAAGAAAACACGCAAAGAAACGCATTTTCGTAGAATTCGTTCACACTCTTACACTTTAAATAGTTGGATCCGTTAAGATGCTTAGTTTAAACACGAATGCGCGCGCATCGTGTCGACATCGAGTGAAAAGCTGAAATAATTTCTTAACCTCGCGGCGACGTTTCCTCAACAATGGTGTTTGTTAGCCAAGCGGACGAACATTGAAATGTTGGTTATTACGAAATATAGTGAGAGAAAGATTTCTAAGACTACGCTTGTCGACTTTTTAAGCATTAATTAATTAAAAACGGGATGTTGCGTACTGATCAAGTGGAAGGTGATTGTCGTCTATTGTGCGATTTCAAGGTCGTGAAAATTTTATATATGTATGATATTGTTGAGAAATAAAGGAAATAATAAAGTAACGAATTAAATTAATAATTAGAAGAAATACATGGAAAGAAAAAAAAATTACGCTTTGAATATTAATAAAAATTTATTTCCAATAAAGGTAAGTTATTCAAAAAATTTTTGATTAAAATAAAATAAATCTTAAGAATTTTCTCATTGTTACAGTTAATATTTCCTTTTTCGAATCTATTAATCTAACATCGGCATAAATAATGTCTTCGCCTACTCTTCCTCATACATTCAGTAAATCGTACATTTTATAAACTAAAAAATCCACACAGTTCAGGAAACGGAAGAAAAAATATCACCTCGTAAATCTGTCAGATTCATAATCGCGATGCATTAAAAAGCATGCGTATGAAACATTGGAAGGGAAAAAAAGTCAAATTTTGCATGCCGACAGGTCAAAGTTTCGCGTAAAGGCAGATCAATGTTTCCGTGTGAAACACATCGAGCCGACTATCAAAAATAACCGGCCGATATTGTTGCGAGCGATTTCATAAGCCAACGGTAAATCACGAGAACTCGATTTGATCTCTGTACTTCTGCACGCTCTTTCACGTGCCCTTCCACGCATACAAAACGGCGGCCGCTTCAAAGAACATAATTCAGGGGATTATCGCACGCGCGAAACGGGGCAAATATTGGCACTGTCGAAACTGGTTCGCCGAAAGCAAATTTCGAAGTGCACCCAGAAAATAAATAACGCCGCGGCGAATAATAAACATCGTGGTGTCGACGGTAAATTTTTTCATTTTTCCAAGCTTGATTACGCTCCGCATAAATTTATCGTTCATTTGCCGACCTTTTTCGTTACTTGAAAATTGCGATCGAAAGGCAAATTAAAAACATGAGATATGACTAAATATAACAAAAATAATTTTTTTCGATTGCCACTTAATGTGCAATAGCGACAATTAAATTATTTTTGTTCATTTGAGATAGAAAGTTTTATTTGATTATATGTGAATTGCAATAAGAAAATGATGAATAGAGCTAATTTATTAGATTTTAATATATTTACGGTTATGAAATAGTATGTAAGAATACAATCGTACAGAGAGAATACAGAATACAATAATACTTGTAGTTGTAGCAATTATTTAAACTCGCTAATTAAACATTATTACCGAATATTATAAACACAATTAAACATTTTAAACTATTATGTTGAAATTCTATTATATTTAGATTTTGTATAATAATCTTTTTACTATTAAAATTTAGATTAGAATAATAATCAAAATGTTTCAATTATATTTTCTTCATTTATTTATAAATAAATCTATAATAAATGTTTCATTTATTTAAATTGCTAAATTAATAGTAATAAATAATTAAATTTAAAATAAATATACTAAAAAATAAAAACATCATTATATATTGATCACATGTTTTCATTTTCTCAAATTTATACATCACTCATCAATCATTAAGTACTGAATAGATGGTGGATTAAAATAATATACATAATGAAAAAATTCAAAGAGATGAAAAGACTAAAATAAAAATATTTTAAAAAAACGTGACAAGATGTCAATATTTAATTCTATACTTATTCTTACTCAATTCAAGTATTGCCTAATTAACAACTAAATATACCGCAAAACTTGGTCTATTAAATTACATTCTAACCCATTTACAACATCAACAAAACGTCACATGATGCGCAATTCAAATGTTGATCAGCGTGTGTTGACGCACGAAATCGTTTGTTCCGCTGAAAGCAAGAAGAGCTTTTACTATCGACCGTGTAATTTAACTCTTGCACAGCTGAGATGGTTGCGGTCAGTATGGTGTTTACATCGCCGGTAATATGCTCTTTGGCGATCGAAATGCCTCGTCTGAAGGCGACTGTATAACGCACCGCGGACGCTCACCTACGCGCATTCCACCATCGCTTTCGTTCATCACGGTTAATCACGCCGTGGTTACGATGAGTGTTAATTATCATTCGGTCCGCTTCGTAGATCATTAGCTCCTTTCAACCGCGACGCGGGAACGTCACGACGAAGGGGGTCAGTGGACGCCTATAGACGATCCGACTCGATCAAAATGTGCAAGTTGTATACACTGACGTCGACTGATTATAGGTTACCACGCCACCAATCATGCACGATTGCATTGTATCGCGTTTAATACCGCATTTAGTTCAAATACTCATTTGACTATGAGTTTATAAAACGTATAGTTCTATTTATCGAGTTCGTTGCTCTTGCTATAGAAACCGTATTTTATAGAAATTATTCGAGGAAAAATTATATTTAAATTCACAGCAAATTTCAAATCTTTATAAATTTTAATTTTAATTTAATTATAATTTTTCTGAAAATTCAATTAAAATAAATGCAATTAATATTCAACGATAAATTCGATTTAAAAAAAAAAAAAAAAAAAAAACAAATGACGTTAAAATAAATATTTTATCCAATAGATTAAGATTCAACTAAATCCGCCAGCATGCCGAGTGTAAACATGCTTAAATTCTGCTACAAATTAAATGAATTCGCACAAAGTTTACTAATTACTCAATTCCTTCTTACGACACACGCTTAGAAGAAGCTACGACACATTAAATTACTTCATTTCGTTAGACATAATCTGAGACATTTTACACGAAAAATTACCGCAACGTTTTTCTCGCGACGGGACGAAAAAATGAGTTTCAAAGCGACGGAGCCCATTTTCGCGTAACATTTTCAATGCTCGATTTGCAATTAGACACAAGAGGTAAGCTTTTCCTTTCGACGAAAACATTTTCCCGTAAAAAAAAATTTGCGATTTCCTAGCCTCGTTAACGGGAGATCGTTAAACGCAAAGAGGATTTTTGTACATTAACCTAATACCTGACAATTTCCAGTTCAGAAAGCATAGTAAATAAACACGAAATTACGATCCCTCTGTTCGAGCCGTCGGAATGTAAAGGAAACGAGCTGCGACTACTCTTGTTGAAAGCATACTCGCGACTAACTTCGTGCAGTACTGAACATCAAATCTTTAGGATAGGTTGGATCTCGTTATGAACGACAACTTCAAGATGCATCAAAATATATAAAATAATATAATTATTTTCGATAGTCGATATAAAAAATATTTGGAATCTTGGAAAATATTTGAAATATTTGGAATATTTGGAAAAACAATAATAATTTTGTGAAATTAT